GCTGTATTTTTGCTTAGTAAGTTTTGACTTTCTATTGTTGTTGTTGTTAGGTGTCACTGAGTTGGTTTCAACTCAAAAGTGACCGTATATAAAGTTTGCAAGGAGCAGCTTGGGGGGTTTGAACTACTGACCATGTTGTTAGCAATCCAGTGCATATCTGACAGCACCACACCAGGACGCCTAACCTTTGATTAGAGGGAAGAGAATAAAAAAGATTGACTCACTAGCCCAACCCTGAAGCAATGTGGAAAACTGAGGCCAGAAACTGTTTGCTGGAAAAGTAGAAAGACGACTGCTGATTAAATAGGTATTTTAGAAACTCAGTGGGAACCACTGTCAAATGGTTACTAGAATGACTTTGTATTTACAGCACCATCATAAGAAAGTCTCAGTGCCCCAGGTGCAAAGACCCTGAGAGGTTCAACTTTGCATTGGGCTTTATTAAAAAAAGAAAAAGAAAAAGGTAAAACACATTTAGAAAGCAGAAGTCTTCATATCCGAGTCACGGATTCTCTTGTGTATTTCTGAGTTTTTATCGGAAAGTCAGAAAATACCTGCCATTGAGAATTCAGAAGAGAGTCAGTATTTTCAAATGCATGCATGTATTAACATTAGGCACTTGGAAAGCACAAATCTTTTTATAAAAAAAATTTATTTCTCTGTAAATACAAATTCAAACATCAACAAACAAAATTTTTTCCAGTGGAAAAATACTAGCCATTAACATTGAAAAGTTTCATTTTATTAATAAATAGAACTTTGGCATTCAAAATTCTAGCTGTAAACCCTATTTAAAAGTAACAGAAAAGAAAAAAGAACCCCTTTACAAAAAGAGGCAAGAACAGTAAGAAGGCATGAGCCAACCAGTGGCTTCACATTCTTTTTTACAATAACTGTATTAAGTCATGAGCACTGTATTTACACATGAGGTATTCTGAGTGGTTCAAACCGAACCTAGTTTACAAAATCACCAGTCCTAGTGACTGATGAGACACTCAGCTGTGCTTGTAATGTTCCCACCTAGCACCTTACTATTTCTCATCATCACACCAATGTGATGCTGAATTTTATATTTATTTAAATAACTATACACCTATGTACACACATACACACACACAAGTACATTCCAAAGAAGTTTCCTGATTACTATACAGGAAAAAGACATATGTTTGATACCCCTCTCGTATTTACCAAGATTTCCACCTAGAAATGAAACACAGTTCCTTAAAAAAAAAAAAAAGAAGGTGCACTAATTGTCAACATTCTTACAGTTCATGTAAAATAGAAATGAATGCTTACTGCAGGCAAAAAGGCACAAAAGGTTCTCTCTGTGTGTAGCTGCAATAGTGTTAGTGACTTGAAACTAACATTCTTTATTATAGTCAATATTTCTTTTAAATAAAAAACAAACTTCAAAATCTTTCCCCCTTCATGATTAAATGCATGAAATAATCATACAGCAATTTACTATCATGAGCATTTTGAAGTGACATCAATTTTTATTCTTTATCCCAAATACCTTCTCTTGTCTTGTGAACTATGAAAATTAATTTAAAAACTTATGTGGGTAACCAAATGAATTAACTTTGGCTCTAAAAGCTACAGCTACTGGCAGTTTCAAAGTATACAGTCTGAGTGACATGGTTATGAGAATTATTCATTACCATAATTACACATCAACAGTGATAGAAATCTACATGAGAGAGAGAATGTCAATAATCCAAATTAAAAGTGTGGTGGGGCTGACCTATGCTTTGTAAACATACAGTCCAGCTTCTCAGCTAGTATTTTACTCAATGAAGTACTATTGATATTTAAAAAGTATCTTTTCCAAAAAGTAGTTTGTAAAAAAAAAACTCTCTTAAGAAATTCCTACCAATAAGTCTTGACCTAAGTCAAAATTAGTTTGTAATCTCATTTTTAATCAGAAATGTACACCCTCCCTTTTAGTAATACTGTCCAGCCCTTGAAATTATTTATAAAAAGTTACTGAAAGACTAATTCAGTTTAGTAAGTTGTTATGACCAAAATGAATTTCACTAAAATATAATACTGTTAACATTATTCAATATTATTTCAACTGTGAAAAGGAGTGATACTTACTTTAACAAAAACACAAGCATACCTTAACCTAGACAATACTGATGCTTTTAGAATTAGAAGCCCCTGGAAATTTACTAACAGTTTAAAGTCATCCTATTTTTCTGACAAAACGAAAACGAAATCAAATGAGAAGACTACTGTGCCTTCAATTCCATCGAGTTCATCTACACAGGTAACTTGTGCCTTTCACTAAGACAACTGTTACTGTATTCCTGCTTTAAAGTGACTGAGGTGGAACAAGTACAACTCCAAAGCCCAAAGAGCCAATAAAAAATGTGACTATGGCATGAAAAATGACCTAAGACAAGCTTTTGATTCCAAACAGCCTAACGAACAAGAGGTTTCTTATCAGAGGAAATGCCCTAACAGGTCGACTTTTAAATTTAATTGTCTTTTCAGTTCAGGCCTGTCTTACTTGCACATTCGAGTTCACACTAGAGTATTTGTTTGACCTGAAAGTATAATCTGTTTTCAATCAGATATCACTATTGTTAATTATTCTAAGGGGTGGCATGGAAGAAGATTTTCTGAAAAACAGAAAATCTAAAATTAAATACTGACAAAAACAGAATACTTTTAGTTTCATGTCCTTCCAAGCTGTCTTATCTAGACCCCTTGATAAATTCCAGATCCCAAGACACTAAATTTTATAATTCAAGACTCTACTTACTCTATTATATTTTGAAAACTGAAATGTATCTACAGTAGTCTCAAAATATGTCAATTAAGTAAAATGATTTCAGCTTTAGAAAACTAACTGAAACAACAAAAAAACTATTTTATCTCAACAATATCAGAAAGCAAAATCGTTTTATGGTACATTAAAACAAATGACCAAAAATTTATCTAAAACAATAATCCCCCAAAACAGGTACTAAAAACTCAGAGGAGTTATTTAAATCAGAAGCTGGTAACCCAAATCAATCATTTGTTTGACCACTATCATTTTAAGGTGCCTTTGTTTCCAAAGTCTTGGAGCTGGGGGAAAAAACTGCTGTTTAAAGAGACTGTAAGCAAATGTTTGTTGTACTTTTACCTGATCTATTTTGGATGCAATTTGTCTACTTTACTGTAAAGGCAACACTCACAAGTAGAAATTTTTGCACAGCAGAATTTTTTGCACCCGATTTTTGGTGCAAATTTATTACTCCCTGATTGTCTCCAAATTACCAATATTAAGGAAGCAATGAAGACAAAGCGACTAAGTTCTTTCTTAAGAAATTGGGGATTTGGGTACCAAAGAACTACAATGCTATCTTTTCTTAGTGCCCTGATTCAAAGAATTTAGGACTGAGCAGAAGGGAAATTTTATGTCTTTACTATGTATTGAACTAAAAAAATAAGCTAAAAATCCGAACTGTCTTCCCTGGTAGTTCCCTCAGAGGCCTTTACTTGCTGCATGGGTATGTCCATGGCTGAAAGTACTTCAAGAGAGATTTTTCCTACGAAAATGCCAGCAGTCTATGCTGGCATAAGCCAGGTAAGAGAACAGACGTGTGATCTGCTCTTGACCAAAGCAACATTATTATCCTGCTTGATTTCCACTCCTCCTTCCACCCCTTATTTAGTCTTGACCTAGATGATTCTTGAGTGTATCAAGCAATCACACCCAACTTGTAAAGGATGGTGATTTGCCATTATCAGAGCATATTCAAGAAAATGCAACAAATGCTCTGAAGGCAATAAAATATAATGTCCCCTTTCAAAGTACCAAGCAAAACAGGAACAATACTCATTTGGATGTCTAAAGTGAAATCTACTTAAACACCAGTTGCACTTTATAGTAATACCCTGTAGTCCAGATGAAGAGATATTTAGCCAAGTTAGTATTTTATGGGAAACCCTACTCTGAAGGTAGCTTATCTGATAAGGTGAATTAAAATATCAGCTAAATTTAGATTTCGTTTTATGTTATAGTGATTATTCACATATACATGTTGGTGTTCTCTTAAAGTAGTTTCAACTTTAAATTAAAACAGATACAAAATTGTTAAAATGTAAACACTGAGATTTAGATAAATAAGCTACTGTTCCAAAGTCACTTTCTTAATTTTTTTACAACAATGATCTGAGGGGCCTTAAAAGTTTGCATTAATCATATGGCTTTGTTTATACTGATATACAAGGCATATAAATAAAACAGTGAGGAATAAAAGTCATGTTAAAAATTAGTTCAAATAATGTTAAACTGCTTTGTAATAAAAAATTACAATGCTTAAAAAAAAACCGCAATCACCGCATCAAAGTTCTACACCTTTAAGGCAATCCCTAAGCATTCTGGAAAACGGCTCACTTTTCTACAGTATTAAAATCAACCCAACTCCACAACCTCATCATCTCAGCGCAGTAATTCTTCAAAATGCACGTGGTTTTATTTTAGAATACTTGCCCACGATACAAGTTCTTGTTTAGCCAGCCCTTAAAACCTCCAAGGTACTACACATGAAAAAAAAAAAATACAAGAAGCAGTGCGTGCCTTTTTCAGAAGCACTGCTTTGACCTTATAAATCCTTATAATTTGATGAATAAAGCACACATGCACAAAACAAAACAAACCCCTATTGGATGAAAAGAAATCCTGCTTCTTTTATCTGAAGGGCACTCTTCACAGCTTGGTCCTACAATCAGTAGCTTGAGAACACAGATTTAATTCCTCTAGACTTTATCACATTTTTCAAAGAGCAATTTGATATTTTGGGGCTGATAAAACAAGCCCCTTCAAAACCTCCTCACACTTTTTTCTCCCTCAATAAAGACAAATTTACAAGGGAAACAACAACAATAAACACCTTTGTGTGACTTGCAACCTCCCATTATGGCTCCTTAAAAGAAACACAAAGAACCGTCACACAGCATCAGTTTACACATGTCATTATTGCTGTGGGATTAAAACTTGATCACTGGGTAATGCAGTTGTCTCCCATGTCCTGAGCATAGCGGTCTGATATTGTAGTCCTTAATTCATCAATGTCCCTCCGTAACTGACACACGTCTGACAGTTTTTTAGTGAGTGTTTCTGGGCTGTGGTCATTCTCAGTTTCTTCAGCGGAACAGTTCATTGCTGTAGGAAAAAAAACATGGAGAGAATGGCTCACCTTGTTGAATAAGGGCATTGTTAAGATTTTCATCTTCATTACCACTGGAAATACAATGAATGCTGCACACTTACTAACAGAAAGGCTCAAGTTTAAATTAAGCACCATTCAATATTAAGTAGATTGTATCTATTTAGTCATTCAAAAATTTTGCTCATTACTTTAAATATATAAAAATCCAGTGTTATACACAAATTCAACATATTCAAATAATGACAATATTCCAAAAGCAAAAAGGAGCATATTATAATATTTCCCTTCAAGCTGAGATAAGATACTCAGTTCTTCCAATTTATCAAAGACTGAAAATCTTTTGTACCGGTGAGAGGTGATATCTTAATTTTTTAAAGATAGAAAAATAGATTGGTTTAAAACATTAATTTTCTAAATAGTCAAGGTTTTTATACAAGAACCATGTAAAGCACATGTATTGACCCATGGGACTCTACAAACTCAAACAACTGAATCAGGATGGTTAATAGTCATTCAGTGATGGAATAACTAAGAGTAAGGCCCCAGTTAGCTAGCTTTTACAATGCTTTACTCCAGTTCCTCTCATGTAATAGTACCTCAATATGAACCTGACAGAAGCAATGATTGTAAAATAAACCTTTCCAGTACCTTCATACCTTCATTTACTTCTGGTGTGGTGCTGTAAGATCAGCACTGGACTGTGAACCACAAGCTCAGCAGTTCAAATCCACCAGCTGCTCCTCGGGAACCCTATACAGAGTCACTGAGTTGGAATCAACTTGATGGCACTTAACAACAGCAACAGTACTATCATTGGGAGTATGGTGGCTTTGTAGGATAAGCACAGGACTGCTAACCACATAACTGGCCGTTTGAGTTTACCAGCCACTTTGTGGGAGAAAGATAGATAGGGCTTTCTTCTTCAGCAGAGATTTACAGCCTTAGAAACCCCATACAGGGTTGCTATGAATTAGAATTGACTCAACAGAACTTAACAAGATACTTTCACTGGCCCAAAGAATCTACTGGAGTATGAAGATCATGTGAGCTATCTGGTATTCTGAAAAGCATTACTTAAAAACTTGCCATCATCTAGGTACTATGCTCGATGCTGAGGTCAACAGAATACAGACAAAGTAACTTGTTCTCAAGTATTTGCAGTTGATACATATAAACAAATAGGCACAACCAAGTGTAAGTGGCCTACCACTGCAAATGCGTTACAATGACAAAGGAAGAGAACAACCAAATGTAAGTGGTGGAGATAGTAGGTACATGTTTACTAGGTAGACCAGGAAGCAGAATGAATAAAGGTATACAGACAGCAAAGCAAAATGGTCTGATAGAATGTGAGAGACCTCAAGAGATTAACCAGCTCTAAACTGGTGGTAGTCTGTCGAGTCGGTTCTAACTCACATGGCCCTGCACAGGGTTTCCAAGGAGTAGCTTGGTAGGTTTGAAGTGCCAACCCTAGGTTAGCAGTCCAGTGCTTATCTTACAGTGTCACGAGTGTTCCTTGGCTGGAAAGTGTAAATATTAGGAAATCAGATTCATGGTTTAGAAAGATCACATATTGTTGGTGGGAAAGAGGGGAAGAGTGGGGAAGATAGTTAGTTTACTGAGAGAGCAGTCCAGAGTCCAGGTCAAGGAAAGTTTAAATTAAAGCAACAGTGCCATGAAGACGGAATGACAAAATGTGACAAACAGATGAGATCACCCTGATAGAGCTTAGGTAGAGGTCAAGGATTAAACACAAGACACAGACAAAGGAAAAAGGAAGGGTGAAGGATAAATTCTGATGTGATGGTGGATATGATGCTACTCAAAGAGAGAAGGAGCAGGTCGTTAGGGAGGTCGGGAAAGTGACGTCTGTTGTGGACACACTGAGTCTACGATGCCTGTGAAGCAGCCAGGATCTAATACTCAGATGAATATAAATCAGAGCCCAGAAGAAACATTTGGGAAGGATAAATGTACAGATGGGTCAAAGTATAGCAATATCAGAAAACAACAGGACATGGGTAAAATTACTTAGAGAAAAGTAGTGGGTAAAAAGAGTATAACAACAAAAAGTTCCTGAGGGACACCAATATTCAATATTCACAGAAGATTTGAGATTGAGTGGTTATAAAATAGAAGCAGAACCTAGAGAATGATGTCATGGAAACCCAAGTAGCAGAGTTTCACAAATACTAAGATGGCACAGCATCAGATAACTGATGGGGCAGTGAGAGAAAGAGGAAATAGAATCCATTGGTTTCTGACAAATCATCTGAATAGTCAAATTTTCACAAGGCCAAATAATTATTCAAGATAAGGATTGTGGGTTTGAACTTGTAAAGACTGGACAGAGTACACATTGGGGGGGAAATCATAAGGATTTTGAATCACTTTTTATTCATAATAGGATAGTTTCACTGTACTGTAATTCATAGAAGATATCTACAATAATGCAAATGTGGAAAGTTATAAACATTTGGAGAGGCAACCAGTCCTAAATGGGGGAGACCATGTGTCTTACCTGTGAACGTTTCCTTTTTCCTCCCAAGAGATGGTTTCTAATGAATAAAACCATCCCATGTTCACCAGGCAAACTCCCCCTCCTCTACAATTCAAGTCAAAACCAGCTACTCTGTGGGGCCTTCGTAACCCTTTTGTTACTCTTTTTTTGTGTGTGCTCCCACTGTAAGATTATAACACTCCAGTGACTAGGTTAATGTGTGGGCAAGGCTGCGTTCAATTCATCTGCATTACCAGTACGTAGCCAGTGTCTACCACCAGTGCCTGGGCCACCGTAGGTACTGATTACAGTTTGTTAAATGAGTGAATATATCCGAACACTTATTGTATGTTTATACACACTCATAGTAATATATGTGTGCAAATACTGATACAAACAGAAGTAGGAAAAACAAATTCTACTGACATCTCAGATCAGCATAATGAGCTATATATTTCATTTAACAAATAGTGATATGTTTTTTGTTTAGCCTGTGATCTTAGAAAAAAAATGAATGAGCATTTTCAAGTAAGATATTCAAAGACAGACCTGGATGACTGCAGTTAATGATTACACTGTTTATATTTTAAAATAAAGGTGTCAATATACCCTAAAATAAAGAAAAATGAATGGGCTTTCTCGATTTTTTTTCTTTCTAATTTTCAGTTACTTTGATCAAGAGCATTATTCAGCTTACTGAAAAATAACTATTATAAAGCAAACGGTTGAATCTTTTTCATGAAACTGGAAGTAAAACTAACACCCACAATTTAGCTAACCATATTATTAGTCAGTTAACTAACCAGTCTATTTACAATGTGGTCTTTCTCCTTTCTTATCTTTTAACTGAAATATATTTCTTCTGTATTAAAAAGAGACCAACATGTCATGAATTTGATGATTTGGGAAGCACATTAAGAGAGGAGTGTCCCGGAACTGTGGCAGGTTTCACAGACATGTGTGAAGATAGGTATAAATGAGGATGAGGGAGGGTAGGTTCACAGTGAAAGGGGCAAAGTCAGAATGAAGGCATGGCATGGACAAAGATCATCTGTGAGCCATGAAAACAGGCTTATGTGGCAGTGTAGATGATCACATTGCTGTAACGTCACACTACACAGAGAGAAAGCAGTGTTTGCTCTTTAAATATGTGACCAGAGGGCATATGGCCAGGTAATTAATTTTTATAATTGCCACATGAAAGCAAATAGATAGAACCATTACTTTTAGAAGAGTTTAAATACTTCTAGATCAGAGACCCTAACAGGATCTTAGAGGTTACTACCACTCAAGTCATATATTTATAGTTTGGGCACAGGAAACAGCTCCTTGCTCATTCACACAACAAATGTCTAGGTACCTGCCCAACGGCAAATCTTATCAACTATGACCATGCTCGCGTCTTATGTACAATGAGGTAAGTTCCAGTAATGAAGTGATAGAAGGTATACATAAACCCACAGAGTGCCTCATGACTTTTAAGTCTAAGTAGGAAAGGAGATGACAAAAATAAATAGGAAAAAGGCAGTCAGAAGTCTGATTCATGAAAATGGGTTTCTAATTGCTAAACAATAAAGTAGGGACAAGTTATCAGCCACTTACATCTGATTCCCAGTAACAATGAAAGATTAGGTTCCTTGCCCTGAGCACGCTGATTAAGGATACTACACAATGCTTTCAAGTCAAACAAGCAGTAGGACATTTCCTTGAACAGCTGATCAATCACAGTCAAATCAAATAATGGGCATTTGGAAAGAATCATCTGCTGTCTGGATTGGTCAGCTTCCTGGCCCTGATCCAATGAAGTGCATGTGTCTTCTGTTTCTCTTTGGTTCTGTAATGGGTAAAGAAACTCAAATTAGGTTGTTAGAACAGAGAAAAGGTACTCAAAAGCTATACAAGGCTAACCGCCCTTGCTCAGGTTTATAAGAAAATAGTGGAGTCACACTTTCTGCACATTAAGTTCAACTGCATATACAGAGAAAAAAATAATAACAATTTAAATAGTGAAAGTGATTCCACTATGCCATCCAATCTCCTAAGGTAAGCCCAAGAAATAAAATATGTATCTAAACAGTCTCAGTTTCCAGTGGGCCCTCTTACTCTTACATAATGCACATCTTGATCACTTACATATTTTTCTATAAAGGGATAGATTCCAAGAACAAAAAGAACTATTAAGAAACTTTAAAAATTATTTCTGAAATAGTGATTTAATTACTTTGAAATGATCTTTTTTATATATTGGGGGGATTATTTTGATAGGAATCAAAATTTTCAGTGCAATAGAGAAATCCATGAATAAAATCAAAGAAGAAAAAAAAAAACTAAACTAAACTGTTTAATCTGAATTGAAGTATCAATATGAATTCATGATTTGACACTCAGAAAGTTAACCTCACCTCATCCCCAAATGAGGTGGTGCTGTAGGATAAGCACTGGACTGCTAACCTCAAGGTCAGAGTCTCAAACCCACTAGCCGCTCCCCACTATGAGTTGGAAATGACTTGATGCTACTTAACAACAGTACTCCTCATTCTGAAAATTGCTAATTAAAAGGTATTTGAATTAGCTTCCTGGCTGGAATTGTATTTCAGCATAAGCCTCGGTTAATGTTGGACAGATATTTTTTATAGATGATTGCCAGCTAATAAATGTAAAAGGGATGATATAATTAGGGAAAAAAAAATGTTTCCAGCACTGATCATCAACAGATAATACAACTATTAAGGGAATATTTGCTTGCCAATTGCATATTTGTAAATTGATACTCAACAGATTCCTTGCTAGTCACAAGTTGTAAATTTACAAATGGACAGTGATGTCACTGAGATTAGTGTAAACTAGTACAGTAACTCATGGTTTCAAACCCCCACAACCCTCCTCTTGCACTAGACCACACAGAATCCTTAGTAATGTTTATTATGGATTTGAATCAGAGAATAATATGTAATAAAATTTGATTGCAAATTTCTTAGATGTAATATTTCTTAAATTACATTGAATCACATACTTATTACTTACAACACTGTAAGTAACTAAGAGGAAGTTGATTTTTTCCCTTTTTCTTAAATTACTACTTCATTCTAAATAAAGTTATTGATGTTGTTGTTGTTAAGTGCTATCAAGTCATTTCTGACTCACAGTGACCCTGTAACCACCAACCTTGCAGTTCAAACCGACTCTGCAGTCCAACACATGAACCCACAGCGTCACACCAGGATTCCAAAGTTACTGATACAGGATCACAAATACTAATTATATCAATACTGTAGTTAAAACACCAGAATCTCTGACAAAATTAGTGACTGTTGAAACACAGAGCTAAGGAATTCTGATGCAGCACTACAGGATAAGCACTGGACTGCTATCTGAAAGGTCAGTGGTTCAAATACCAATAGTCACTTCTGGAAATCCTATACAGAGTTGCTATGAATCAGAACTGACTCAACACTTAACAACAACAATAAACAAAGGACAAAATCAAGAAGGGTGGGGAAAAAAGAAAAGATTTTCATGCTAAAAGAAACATTCTTTGTTGGCTACCAGGTGCGGGAGAGAAGGAGAGTAAGTCACTGGCTAGAGGGTAAGACACATAGAAGGAGAGTAATTCACTGGTTAGAGGGTAAGACACATAGTTAACTCAGTTGATGGAGAGGGCAACATACAAGAAGAGGGCTAAACAGGATAAAGGTAAATAGTGTTACACACACAAGCTCAGAACAACTGTGTTGTGGGGGTACATACAAGGACAAATACACAAACTGAACAGGTATGGGAGGAAGAGTGGACATATACCCAAAAATAAATAAGGGTTCTAAAGAGAATATCTGCACATGGTATTGACCACTGTTGCAAACATGCATGAATATAATGGTGCAAACAGTGGGCAAAGCCATGAAAATACCTTAGATATTATAGATAGTATAGAAAATACCTAAGATATTAAAACATCTTAAGGCAATGAGTTGCTGGGCCTAGGGACTCAGAACCATAGTTTCATGGGATGCCATGGTCAACTGGTATAACACAGTCCACATCCTACTTTGCTGAGTAGCATTTGGGATCTTAAAAGCTCATGAGCAGCCATCTACTGTGCAGCTATTGGTTTTCATTATGTGGAAGAAAGAAGAGTGATGAGAAGTGAAGATACCTGGAATCAATTATTCCAGTAGACTAATGAAACATGAAGATGAGTTCCACAACTCTGAGGCTAGAAGAACAAAATGGTGCCCAGCTATCACTATCAACTGCTCTGAAAAGGATCGCATTGGAAGGTCCTGGATAAAGTAGCAGAAAATGTAGAATAAAACTCACAATTTTAATAAGAAAATACCAGGCTTACTGTGGTCAGAGAGACTGGAGGAACCCGAGACTATGGCCCTCGACCACCCTTTAGGTCTGAAAAGGAACTTAGCCTTGTGACCCAATTTTCAGCCAAGCAGTAGACAAGTATATAGCGGGAGCAGCAACACTATGTAAGTTATGCTCACCATGGAATGGTCAACCATTCAAAATCAAAAGAACAACATTTCCCTAAGGACAAAGTTGAGAAGAGATAGGAAGGTGGGTGGAATGGAAATAGGAAGCCCAGGGAGTGGGATAACTGTTGTTGCATGGAGGGGATTACAATAGAGATGAAATAAAGTATATGAGTTGGTGAATGTAGAGCTGATGATCCTGTCTGTAAACCTTTACTCAATTCACAATAAAGTTGTTGTTTTTATTTAAAAAAACAAAAAAAAAAGAAGACACAGGGAGGAATTGAGACAAGTAATGATACACTAAAGGGATAATAACAGATATGAAATATAATCTATGATTTGTTGAATGTAAAACTGATGATCTGCTCTGTAAACTTTCACTCAATTCATAAACAAGTTTTTTTAAAAAAAATATTCACAAATGAAAAAATAGAAACACTGGAAGCAACAAACACAGCATGTGCCTATAGCATGTGCAGACAAAATCCTGTGATTCAGTCATTGTAATTAGATAACAATGACAGCTCTGACCAGAGCAAATTTTCGTTGTTGTTAAGTGCCGTCAAGTTGATTCCAATTCATACTGACCCTGTACAGGGTTTCTGAGGAGCCGCTGAAGAGCCTGAACTGCTGACCTTGCAGTTCAAACTGACCATGTTACAAGGTTCAAAAGGAAATTAACCACTTTAATCTTGTAGGTGGTGCTGTAGGATAGCACTGGACTGTTAACAGCAAGTTCAAACCCACCAGTCACTCAGACATCCCATGTTGTTGTTGTTAAATGCCATTGAGTCAGTTCCGACTCACAGTCTCTGAGCAGAGACTGGTGAGCTTTAACCACTGACACTGCGGTTCAAACTGACCTTGCAGTGCAGTGCATTAACCCACAGAGCCACACCAGGACTCTCAGAAACCCTATGAAAGGCTACTAAATGAGTCGGAATCAATGTGATCACACTTAACAATAGTCTTGTAGGTATACTTCACCAGTTGGGCTTATGAAAAATGTTTTTGTTGGTTATAAGTAATTTCAGGGATACTTTTATAAAAATTATAAATTTCTGCTGAAACATTACACAAAAATGTTATAGACATTTTGATGTCACTCCCTCTGACAGTATCACCTGGTTGGGTCCATACACACATCCCCTGATCCTCCTTAATGTCACCACCTTAATCTAATCATCATTGTTTATGTCATAGTCAAATCTCCAAAAATGATTATTTGCCATGATAGGAAGTATTTATTTCAAAAAATGTCTGATCTAAATCTCATCCTGTCTTTAGTTCTAACTGTAACTTACAAGAAATGTACGGGATTTTGTTTTGTTAAGAGTTGGTTCCAACACAACCAATGTAGGGAGGGGATAGAGAATAAGATAAATGACACTGTGAGGAAACAATCACACAATTCTAGGAGGTATGACAATCTATAGTCTATAAGACAGTAGGTCCATGTTTCTTCAACAAGTCACTATCATGGGGGAATAAAGCAGTCTAAGATTTATAAGACATAACAGTAAAATGCTATGGATTGTGCTTGATTCAATTCTAATTTCAAAAGCCACTATAAAAAAGCACTGAAGAAAAATTGGGGACATTTACATACGAATAAACTAAAATCATACATATGTAAATGTCCCCAGTTTTCCTCCAGTGGAACTAGGGATATCATTGTTGACATCAGATGGATCTTTGGTTTAAAGCAGAGAATACCAAAAAGATTAAACATCTTGACTACACAAAGGCTTTTGATTGTGTAGCTGATGACAAGCTATGGAAGACATTGCGAAGTATGAGTATTCTGGAATACTTAATTGTGCTCATGAGGAACCTGTACATAGACCAAAAGGCAGTTCCAACAGAACATGGGAACATCGAATGGTTTAAAATTAGGAAAGGTGTCCACAGGGTTTTCTTTCACCATACTTATTCAACCTGTATGCTGAGCAAATAATCCGAGAAGCTGGGTTCTATGAAGAAAAATGTGGCATCAGGATCGAAGGAAGACTCATCAACAACCTGTGATATTCAAATTATACAACCCTGCTTGCTGAAAGTGAGGAGGACTTAAAATACTTAAAGGATATTTTCAATAACCTCATATGCATGCGAAAGTTGGACAGTGAATATGAAGATTGTAGAATAATGGATGCCTTTGAGTTACAGTGTTGGAGGAGAATATTCAAAGTACCATAGGCTGCCAGAAGAACACACAGATCTGTGTTGGAAGAAGTGCAGCCAGAGTGCTCTTTGGAGGCCAAGATGGCCAGACGTAGTCTCTCATACTTTCGTCATATTGTCAGGAGGGACCAGTCACTGGAGAAGGATATCATGTTTGGTAAGGTGGTGGATCAGAGAAAAAAGAGGAAGACCCCCAGTGAGAAGGAATGGCAAAGTGGCAACGTCAATGGGCTCAAACGTGGCAACCATTGTGAGGTTGGCCCAAGACGAGGCAGTGTTTTGTTTTGTTGTGCATAGGGTTCCTATGAGTCGGTACTGACTCAATGGTACCTAACAACAACAACAAACCAAAATCAAACCAAATCTACTGCCAGTGAGTTAATTTCAACTCACAGTGACCCTATAAGGATACAGTAGAACAGCTCCAAAGAGTTTCCAACGCTATAAATCTTTACAGAAGCAAACTGCCTTATCTTTCTCCTGTGGAGAGGCTAGTGGGTTTGAACTACCAACTTTTTGACTAGCGGCTCAACACTTACTTATCCCATCACGCCACCATATGGACTTACAAAAATTTTTTTTAATTGCTGTCGAGTTTGTTCCAACTCAGAGCAATCCTGCATAGAGTTTGAACCACCAATCTTATAGTTAGTATTCCAGTGCTTATCCTACAGCATCATACCAGTACTCCACATGGACTGTTGCTCTTGTTAGCTGCCATCAAGTCGGTTCTGACTCACAGAAACCCTGTATGGGGTTTCTGAGGAGCAGCTGGGGTGTTTGAACTGTCAACCTTGTGGTTAGCAGTCCAGTGCTTATCCTCCAGTGTCACACCAGGAGTCTACATTGACTAGAAATTAAATGTTAAGGAATTATTATTGTCACTGGGTATGACAATGCTATTATGGTTACATATGATGTTTAGGGAACAATGTCATGACTGTTAAAACTAAATAAGATGCATTGTTTACATAACTGGTCTTTAAATACACGTCAGGTATTTCATCTTGTACTTAAAGGAAGAAAGTGTACTGAAGTGATGAAGTACCAGCACTGTGCACTTTCTTAAGCATTTTCAAGGGTAATTTGTTTACATTTAAATGTATGCCTTCTTTGCTAAGTTTGGAATCTAATGTATATAATATTTGAGTTTGCTATAGTTTAAGAATATAAAATTGTATTAGGAAACTTAATAGATTTAGTTAACTAGAACATAAAGTTAAAGTTCAATTTAAAAGAGACTATTAATATGTATAAATAAGCATTTAACTTAAAATATACATAGTAAATCACCTTTTAAAAGTTAATTCAGATTTCTTCTACTCACCCCAAGTAGTGCTTCTGTTAATCTCTGTATATTTCTTTCTTTCTTTTCTAGCTCTTCCACCATCTTTTGAGTGGTCAGTTTCTCTTTAGATAGTTTCCCTTGCATAGACTAGAATAAAGAAGATTAGAAAGCAAAGCATGTTACTACTTAGAAAGCTCAATGTGAATCTAACATAGGTAACCAGGAATACTGGCTTTGAATACTTCATATTTTCTTTCCTCTCTAACCCGTTGGAAGATGCAGCCTTTACTTCAGTACTTCTAGAGTCAGTGACTCCAGAGAAAAGAAGAGGGAAAACACGCCATCTTAACAAAATGATTTGTAACATGGGTAAAAGAAATTTTTGTCGAACCTAAAGTTGCTCTTTAATTCTGTTGTTGTTGTTGTTAAGTGCCGTCGAGTCGGTTCTGTTACAAATATTAAGAAAACTAATTTTTATTTGTTGGGAATATATTAAATCCATTCATTTTTTGTACATTTTTTTCTTATAGTCAATAAAGTACAATTCCCTACTTTCTATCATTGTAAACAAAGCTAAACTCCCTTCTCTCAGAGTCTCGTATTATAAGCAGTGACTCCGCCATTGAACTCAAGCCGATAGTCTATTATGGGACTTTGAAAATATCTTTTCCATGATACAAGTATAAATAATCTACACATGATGCAATTGTTAAAAAAAAATACACCAGAATGGTAAGCAGGGAATCTTACAAGTACTTGAGTCACTTCAGCTAGGTACAGTTCAGAAAAAAACTTGCCATAAACTCTGTGGTTATTAGTAAACTCTAGGTGTTTATACAATTTGTGTTGTTTTCAAGCCCACAAGATAAATAGACATATGCCCAGGGAATCTATTTCTTCCTTTTTTTTTTTTTTCAGATTTGTATATTTAGATTCTGAAAATGCATCAGATTGCTGACCATTTAAATAGCACAGTGTCCACTGTCAAGTTTTTTCCTTCCTGTTAACATCTGGGTAGGGTTAAAAGAGGACAGTCTCCACCATGATTTGATACAACACTGTAAATAAACAGTAGTTTTCTTATGTAAAGCAACAATATTCAACCAAATATATTACTATTTAATTTCATTTGTCTCCTAAATTCTAAAAAAATTGTATTTCATAACTCAAAAATTAGATACAAGTGAAAGCAAATTCCCTAACAAATACAGTTCCTTTCAGAGAAAGCTTATTTTGCATGCAACAAAACATAGCAGTCACATGAGATGGAGTATATATATTGTATTTCTGGATACTTTGTAACCTGTTCTTTCATTGAATGGTTATATAGAGATTTATTTACCTATATGATAGCTATGTTTCCTGGCTGACAAGATTACTTGACTGGAATTCAGATTTAACCTTCATTTTCTTAAGATTTGCTAATGTTCATTTTACTAGAATTATAGAAAAAGGTACCACACATCAGCTATACTAAAATTTAAATGTTTACAATGTTGCAATGTCATTCTTCAAAAGATTATGGGCATTTATTTATTCAGTTTTCAACTCAAGAGTCCTACTGAATGTGAGGAATAATTAGCCAGTAAATCTGATTAATATGTTCCTATGTAAGACTGGATTTAAATCAATGAAGAAACAGGCTGTATTCTCCATTAGAATAAATCAGAAATGTCTGCCAATCTGTTACAAGAAAGAAAAGTTCGGAATTCAGGATCATCATCACTGAGATTAAGAATAGTAACAGTCTGCTTCTGACTCACCAGAGCTGCTGTAATGCTATATAACTCACAAGCATTGCTCTAAGGGGAACCTGAACTGGTTTCCAAATATCTACAATGTCTCACCAAAATGAGTAAGCTGCTAGGATCCTCGCCTCCAGGTACTTCGTATGGTCATTTTTTAGGTTAAAAATTGGTATTAAGCATACTTGTGGTTCTGATGATGTTGGTGTGAAGTGCCGTTGAGTCAGCTCCGACCCATAGCAACTCTGTATAGGGTTTCCGAGGAGTAGCTGGTGAGCTACTTGACAAGTAGTTCAAATGGCTTTGCAGTCTGGCACACTAACACACATGTAAGGATCCACATGTAACCCACAGCTGCCGTCGAGTTGGTTCCAACCCATAGCAACCCTGTATAGGGTTTCCAAGGAGTAGCTGGTGAGCCATTTGACAAGTAGTTCAAATGGCTTTGCAGTCTGGCGCATTAACCCACATGTAAGGATCCAGAAATGCTAACTCTCCTCTGCCCCACAAATAACTCAAAAGGAGGGAAAGATAGATTTAGCTAACGTTCTACATAACTTGCCAATCTGTTTATGAAGCAAGGTTTCAAAGAAAACTTATTAGCAGTGAAACGTATGTATGTATTTGTGTGTGTGTGTGTGTGTGTGCACACCATACAGGACTTTCACAAGTTAATCCATGCACTCAGCAGAAATTATTGCTACATACTGCTCTACGCACTAGGCAACACTGTGTGAACAAAGTAGTCAACACTCGAAAGTAAAAAAGCCCAGCAAGTATGTAAGTTCTACAGTACTGTACATGAGAACTTGACTAGTGCCGTGGAGAACAGAGAGCACAACAAGGAGGACGGCAGGAGCTGAAATCTGAAAAGGGTGTGGTGGTGGTGGTGATGTGCTGTGGAGTCAGTTCCGACTCACAGAAAAGTGACACTTGGGCAGAGGCTTTAAGAAGGTGATCAACTGTTCCCCACAGGTATCCAGGAAAGCAGTGTAAAGGTTTTGAGGCAACTGGTGCCATCTGGGGTTGAGAACAAGCAAGAGCCAGGGAAGTTGAGGCTACTAGTGAGAGTCAGAGAAGGCAGCCACAGGAATAGAATGCAAGGCCTTAGGGGCCAGTGTAAGAACTCTGACTTTGCAAAGAATGAAGAAAGACTGAAGGGTCCTGAGCACTGGTGTCATGATCTGATTTTTGTTTAACAGAACACTTAAGCTCATAAGAATATAAGCAGGCAAAGGTGGGAGCAGGAAGAGATAACCCAGATACGAGGTGAAGAGGGCTAGACTCGGTGGCACAATGGAGGCTGTGATAAGGGGCCAGATTCTACATATATTCTGATGATAATAGAATTTGCTGACAAATACGAGGCTAGAGAGGAGTCAAGGATAAGTATAACGTTTCCTGTCTGAGCAAATAGAAGGACACACTTGCCATTAACTGAAAAGGGAAATACGGAAGGTGTAGCAGGGTTTATTTCTTTTTTGACTGGGCAAAGGGGAAGAAGGTAAGTAACTTAGTTTTAGACATGTTAAGTGCATGTGTCAAGTGGTGTTATTGAACAGGCAACTGGATCCACAGTCAGTTCAGAGGAGAATTTTGAACTATAGAGAAGTATTAGCAGTGGTAAACTTAGATATATACACAATATTTAAAGCCATGAAACATAAGATCACCAAAAGCAGCAGCACAGAGAATGAAACTCTTGAAATATGACACTATGTTTTTGAAAATAATTTACACACAGTCATACATTTAGTGTGCCTCTCCAAAATATGTGCCAATTTGGGAGGGCTTTGCTTTTTAGGGAGTCCTGGTGTGGTGCTGTGGGTTAATTAGCTGTATTGCAAGGTCAGTTTCAACTGCAAAGTCGGTGGTTCAAGCTCATCTCAGAAACCCTACACAGGGTTGCTTTGGGTTGGAACCAACTCCATGGCAATAAACAACAAATGATTTTCAGTGGATTGGAAGTTACGTAATAATATACTTTGGCTATTATGCAAAAGTATAATCACTTCTAGTGTGGCGCTGTGGGATAAGCACTGAATGGCTAACCACACAGCCAGCAGTTCAAATCCACCAACTACTCTTGGAAGCTCACAGGATCGCTGTGAGTCGGAACCAACTCAACAGCATAAAACAACATGATGTGATCTGATGGGATCAGCCCATCAGTTATATGGTTTTAGGGGACTAGGGAATGTAACAACATCCTCACTCCTGGCACAGCCATGATCTGATGTAAGAGGAGTTTTCTTGCGGTGTGGCCTGTGTCACTTTTTATTTTGCAAACAATGAAAGGAGAGAGCAGTGAGAGGAGGAGAGACCTAGGTACCACTAAGAAAGAAGAGGTGGGAACTGAGCAGGTCCTTTGGGTCTGGGGTTCCTGTGCTGAAAACCTCCTAGACTCAGGGGAAGACTGATGCCAAGATAGAAGAATATCTCCAAGGAAGGCCAGGCTCTTCTATGTTGAGACAAGGACTTAGATATGGCATTAAATCTAATCTGCACTGTCTACTAACCAACTGTATCTTTATTAAAGAGGATTTATGCTACAGGTCTCAACTTTGTTGCATCTAGTTATATAAGAAAAACAACATTAAAAAAAAACAGCAAAAATTCCTCAAAAAAGTAAGTTGCTCTGAGGTGTTTTCTGTTGACATTTTATTGTACATATTCAATTATTTAAAAACAAAGTACAAATCAATAATGTTCAATTTGCTGCTGAGAATAATTGAAAAATCCCATACTGTTATGAGTCTATTAATACAAGCATACTATTTTTGCAAGAGCTTTCATAAATATATGCAAAATGTAATAGCACTTGTATTAAGAAATAGCAATTAATAAGGGTGTGCATATTTAACAAGGTAGAAATTTATACTACCTACAGAGCATCAATAAAAGGAATATATTATTTGAATGAGATTTAATATTTCTCAATGTCTTTAAAAACATGAAGAGAAAGGATAGGGTTAGTGGTGCTTGCATAGACTTAAAAACAAGGTTCTGGATCCCTATCTTTGTGCCGATTTTTCTTGTGAAGTACTGTGAAAATTATGCAGTGTACATGCAGATGATACTTTTGAGTGTCCAGTTCACAAATCCTGTGAGTCATAAATCAACTTAAGTTTACTCAGGGATTCTGCAGGCTTGGGTCATAGTCTCCTGGGTCAGACTAAGTGAAAACTTGACCAAACCTGAGGAAACAGGACCTCAGTCTGAGTTAAGACTCTGCAAGTGTCTGAAGTGAACTATGGAACTTAGGAACTGTGCACAGCCATGTTCTGCTATTTGAGCTAAAGAAAGAAGTCAGTCTGCAGAGACGAATGAAACATGCTGCAATGAAAGAAGCATGAGAGCTTCTTCTTTCCTAACCACACCCACTGCCCACAATTGGATGTG